ATTATTTTGTTTGATTTATTTGATTTGTATTATGTACCACGTTGAAACAGAATCATTCGGTGGCAGTATGAATCAAACGCACAAGAATGCACAGGACGAAAACAAGAACAAACACATATCGTACAACGTCAATACTGTGTTCAACAGCAAAGATTATTTGGTACGGCTTTGGTTGCCAATCATAAGCGACGTGAACGGAAAAAGAAACTGTTACCCTAACATTTTCAGCTCACTGGCCGTAGGTTTTATTTTTTAAATAAATTTTCGTTTTCCAACAGCAAATGCCGTCGGACAACAGAAACATGACACGAGACGGTGTGGCGAGTAGAACGAGTTTCTACAATAACGGCAGTCCACAGTTGCAGCGCGAATCCGAAACGGGAATAAGCGTCGACAGACAATACGACGCCGGTTACAATGGAATGCACGAAGGTGAGAGGCCAGCTGGTGGATTCCCACCGAACGGACAGCAATTATTAAGTACGTTGAGAAATTGATAAAAAAAATAAATCCATGTACTTACTTGCACGCTCACGTTTATTGTCACAGTTTATTAGAAGCCGCGATCGAGGCTAAGTGATCGCGTACGATAGTTCACCTATCTAATTGCTTCGTTTTCAAACATTTTAATGTAATAATTTTGCAATCCACCATAATTTTTTTTTGTCACATTATTGCATGAACGATCAAAACCAGATTTTAAGCAGATTTATGACGAAAAGTTTAGAGTACCATTACGAATATARAATATTACACTGTTATCGGTAGGTGTTGCAGGGACAAAATAACAATTCACAAAAATGTATTTTGTAACTAAAAATGTATTGAATATTCAATTTTTATAACAAATGATTGAAATCTAAAACTAGGAACCTCTTAAGTAAATGGTACACTCGTAACCAAAGCATTTTGAAATATATATATATATATAGATTTTATTTTATAGACATTTTGATTTCAAATTCGAAACGAATTGAGAGACATTTTAACGAAGAATAAGGTTTTCAGTTATTGTGTTGTAATTTAAATATATTATATTATTYGTGGGTACTTACWTGAAACTTTTATAGTATATKATTACGTTTTATTCACACAATATAATTTTTAAAGTTGGGTCGAACTGTTTGAAGTATGAAAAATCGAACCTAACTTTAGAACTGAATCAAACTGGATTATTAAGTTTGAGATACCAAAAAAAGTTCGGATTGAGATCATATTATAAATTTTGCTCAACTCTAATAATTTTCAAACACAATGTTTAAAAAAAGAATTAATCCAGACTAACATTATTARAAGTAAAATAAATCAATTTATTAGTWACAATATTACAAAATAGGCTAAATATACGAACATTTGGCCAGCCTCCCTCCCCAAAATCATCTGACTTTAACCCAACTCAACATTTTACCATTCCAAAAAATCCTAATTAGTTTTAACTCTTCATAATCTCAATAAACATATTTTTTAAGCAAATTTAACAACGGATAAAAAAATCTTAACTGGATAAAAAAAAAGTATGATTTTATTAAAAAAATATGAATTGAATAAAAATATATTTTGAATAACAAAGAAGAATGAAAATTGTAGTATGAATAAATTAAATTTTAGGTTTTTTAGTTAAATTAAATTTTTTACATCAACTTAGGTTTTTTATTCGTGATATATTTTTTTTTTTGTTGGCAAAACGTTCATCTAAATTATAAAGACAGACCGTTTTCGTTCTGAATCGTTTTTCGTATATTATAAATTTATATTTTTGAACTAAAATTTAGTTATTATTACAGTAACACACACAACACATACAGTAAGCACAGCAGACCAATACCCATTTTCCAATATATATATTTTTTTTTTGGTTTATTTTCAAAAATGATGTGTTTGTTAATAGTTATAAAAGATAATTTTCAAAATTGAAAACTATCTATTTTTATATCATAAACTAAATACAAGGCTCAGGCAGACCGCATGCGAATAAATTAAATAATTTCCAAAAGTCCCACCACAATATTATTGAAGGTCTAATATACAAATTAGACGAAGTTGGTACATACCTTAGCACTGCTTTTTTTTAAGTAGATGTGATAGTAGCAGCATGATGGAGATTGACAGTACTGATATTATTTAGGAGCCATTAACCACTGAAACAAAAATAAAAATAATTAAAACAATTGGAATTTGATACCTACTCATCATGTATATATATGCCCCAATAGGAATTTAGTTGCACAACGGGTTTTCAATTAAGATAAATATGAAACTCAGTTTTCATAAAATAAACTCAACATTAAAAATAAAATCTCACACATAACTYGAACCATAATAATTCTGTACTCTTTTTGTAGTTGTTGTACCATCCAAATAAGAGCACAAAAGTGTGGTACCTATATTACATTGTTGTTTTTTTTTCGATCGACTTTGAACAAAATGAATATAAAAAATCTATTAGCGTARGTATAGGTACCTACATAATTATTTTTTAAGTATGAAAGAGTACAAATAATTGTGGTTCACACTTTTTATTGGTTTCTATCTTTACGACTTCTAAGTTAATATACCTAGCTAAATAATACGTCACAAATAGCTATATAACTTTAAATTAAAATAAGGTGATACGTGTATGAGAATTATTAGATACTATAATCGTACAGTTTTCCTGTAAATTTTAACTCATTCAATATTTCAAGATATTTTCAAACGACAATAATATGTACTATGTAGCCGTTATACATAGGAACGTTTTCCTATATCCTAACTATACGTCTATACGTAAGTACCTACGTCAAGAAGCGTATTATGAATATCATTGTAAAAAAATCACGCGAATCGACGTTTTAAAGATGTCTGAAATCAAGCACAGTTGTTCCGTGTACTTAAATTCTATTTTTGTGTATTGCCAGTGGGTCGAAGTWACGTTCTAAAAACGCGACCGGATCCTGCGGCGGTGTCAACCCACTCGTGCGTCAAATGCGATGTTTAAAATAATGTTATTTTTCGCTTGTTTTCCGTCGCTTCATACACTATTTTTGTGATTGCTTTATAATTATAATTTAATGATTATTGTATGATATAATAATTATGCCATATTCCGTAATAATGAATCTCGCGCGTTTTGGCCCGAACGGATCGCTTCCGGTGACATTTGCGGAATTATTATAAAAAAAACAATTGTTGAGATGTATAGAGCTAAAAATGACAAAATTAAAAATTAAAATTAACACGAATCAAATAATTTTCAGACAGTGGTAATTATATCAAATTTAACGAGCGTTCGAAAATAGCTTAACACGTTGCGCGCCATGTATTGCGTAGTACTTCCTACTTCGGTATTAATTTACCATACATTTATTAAAGTCTAAAATAATATAACACAAATATATAGGTCACACCTACTTACAATTTCAAATTATTTTTTCTTTTCTAAATACTAAATAATGATATTAACAACTTGGCTGTAGAAGTTGTAGTGCTTTCTGAAATACAATAGGTTTATCGCGCTGTTCCGTGTTTAATTTTAGGGCGTAACAACAAATATATTTTCCAAATAATAATCGATGTACATGCCGTAGATGAAATTAAAATAGCTTCTAATAAGRATACGTTGATATAGCGTTTGAATTCTAGTAATTTGGTACGAGAAATTACCGTAAAGATCACGAAAATATATTACATAATATCAAAAKATGTGAGGTGATTCACCAGGCAAAGAATTATTCGAATTAKGATTTTCCGAATTATCAACTGTATGTGAATCACTAAATGCAAGAAGGACGTGTTCATATTTTTTAAATTTTTCAGGAAAGACAAAAAACTTAATATATCTGGACAAAATTGAAGAAAATAATTKAACTGATTCAAATCATATTTAAATTAAAATGGTTTGTAAGATTTTGAAAAGTTTATCTAAAATTTTATAAAATTACACATCATAATATTTTTCGTTGGACATGTTTCCTTTCTGATATAATTGCAATTCTTAAATATTCAATGTACAAAAATAATGGTAAAATAAACAAAACAAGTTTAAAGAAAATTATTTTATTGATTTTTAATATAAACAATAATGTAGGTAAATATAATAACCTATGAATAAATAATGTGTGGACAACTGTTATAACGACTTTGATAATAACTATTCTGGAAAAATCTTATTCCTTTTTAATCCCGTTTTTTCATATAATTCAAAATATCGTGATAATTTTA